AAGTAGGATTTAATTCACTTTTGGGAGATATTCACAAAAGACTGAACGTGAAGGAAACTCTCCTTGCCAGTACACAGATATAAAACAAAAAGAGGGTTGATTTACTAAAAGAAAAACAGGCTGTTCACTTTGTAAGGGAATTTTTCCTTCGCTTAGTGAATGTGGTAGAAATTTGAAAAGATGCCCAAATCATATGCAAAAAAAAAAAACAAAACAGTATATTGTATGCATACAATTGGATAATGGAAAGCAGCTGAGTTTCATTTCATTTACTAAGCAGAGTGAAAATTGCCTTGAAAAGTGAATAGCCTATTTGCCCTTAGCAGATCAGCCCCTATGACTGCGGTTTTAGCCAATCCCTATTATAACCAAAACTTGCAAAAAAAAACGTTTTGGCTTTAGATGCGGTTTATAAAACATGCAATTTTCAATTGGATTTTTTTTGTGTATTTTCAGTGATGCTAACCCAAGAATAGACCATTTATATAAAACCGGCCTACAGAACTGGAACTTTGTTGGCCACTTTTTCAAGTTGAGTCCACCATTAACCACTTAAGCTCAAGATTTTACCCCCTTCTTCATGACCAGGTCATTTTTTTTGCTAATCGGCACTGCCCTACTTTTACTGGCAATTGCAAGTTCATGCAACACTGTATTTGCATGCAATTTATATCATTTTTTTCACACAAATAGAGCTTTTTTTTTATATTTTGGTATTTGATCACCACTAGGTTTTTATTATACAAATGAAAAAAAGACAGAAAATTTTGAGAGAAAAAAAAGATTATAAAAAAAAATCTGACAAATAAAAAATAAAAGTTCTTCATAAATTTAGGCAAAAATGTATTCTGCTACATGTATTTGGTAAAAAAAAAAAAAAAAAAATCCCAGTAAGTGCGTAACTGGTTTGTGTGAAAGTCACAGCGTATACAAACAATGGCATATGTAACTGAATTTTTATTTATTTATTTTTTGTACTAGTATCGGCAGTGATCAGCAACCTTTAGTGGGACTGTGATAGTGCAGCAGGCAATCTCACACTAAGTGGGAACTGACTAACTGATCCTGACCTTGCTTCAACAAAGTTTAAGGGTGTGCACCACTTATGCAACCACATTATTTTAGTTTTTTATGTTTATTTCCCCCCCCTTAAAGATTTGTTTGTTTTTCAATTGAGTTGTACAGTTTATAGTTTACATTGAAAGGTGGAAAAAGTTCTGAAATGATTTATCTTTGTCTCATTTTTTTACATCACAGAAACCTGACATTTTACAGGGGTGTGTAGACTTTTTATATCCACTGTACAGACTGATTTTACTGTTGTGGGTCTAATAACACTTTATTCTCCCTGCTTTGCAGGGAGAAAAAGGAAAACAGCAAATGCCTGTCTGTATAGAGCCCTGTGTTGTTTGTCCTGGAAATAAATTATTGGCTGGAACCTGCGGACCGACTATAGCGAATAACAGCACAGGTCACACGTGTGCCCCCTAGCCAGAAATGATAGATCACGTACGTGTACATGATCTGGTGCAGCGGGGCTGCCCTGATGCAGTAAAACTGTGCTGGGTAGTCCAGATGTGGTTAATGCAATTTATGTGACATGTCCTGTAAAAAAAGATTTCAGTATTATCTGTTATCAAATTGTAGCAATAAGATTATCACTCCATCATTGCTATTATACACCTGAAAACTATATTTTTTTCGTATTTAGGAACATTTTCGTTATAAACGAAGATTGTTCTTGTTGCCCTTTCTCCTTCTGGGTTGTTTTCATGTTTCCAATCATGCGCGGTCTTGGTCACTCAATTCTTTATGGACTGATTGAATGAAAATCATTTGTTCTGTTACCTTACAAGAATTTTAGTTTTGTCCCTTCGGATAAATTCACATGAACGGTCTTGATCAGCTCTCGAAAGCTGTGTACTAACGATCAGATGTTAGGATGATGATGCCGAAAGTGTACCTCCCCCCCTCGATTTTCTCATTGTGTGTACTAGGCATTCGTTTTATATTCTCCTCCTCAATCTCATGCTGATCCTATAGGAAGGAAAAACACTTCAATCTGCCTACAAGCCAGGAGATCCTCAGACCAACTAAGGCAATTCATTCATTCCCAAAGTCCAGCTCAGGAGTATTAACAGATTCTGACTGCCAGGACACTCGAGATAGGATGTCTGGTTTACATGGGTTAGTCAAACAACTTTTCTTATCTAATGATGTAAGAGGTACAGAGCTTTATAAAGGATAATAGGAAAATAGTGGGCCAAGGATTTGCACTTATCCAAAATACCAAATGTGTGAACAAGTCCCTGGGAAAGCAGTTCCTTTTCATATTGCTGTTTATGAATACACAACCTTCTTTTATTAAAGCAAATTTTTATATTAAAAAAGCACAAGTAAATTTTCAAGGAACCTCTAATGCTTACATTTACCCTTTATTATACTTTGAGCACCCCAGGATCCATAAAACATTTGGCCCTCTTATATACTCTTATATTATATAAAGTCAACAGCAGACACCCCATCACTTCCAGGCACACAAGCTTTACTATTCTCACAAGCAATGGTGGTCAGTAAAACTTAAAGGAATAGGACATTTGTTGACTTTAGGAAGCATATAAGATCAGTTTGGGCTTTTGGAGGACCTGGGGTGTTCCAAAGGAGGTGAATAAGTACATACTGCCAGTTTACATATACGAAACATTCTGCACTATAATTTTCTCAAAATCTGGTGCAGCTTTCCATGGTAACCAATCAGCTTCTAACATCAGTTTGTTCAATAAATAAATAAAATAAATAAATAAATAAATAAAATAAAAATGGAAGCTGATTGGTTTTCCATGCACAGCTGGACCAGATTTTGCACTCCCCAGCTTTAGTAAATCAACCCCCACATATTATGCAGGCCATACATGGGTCAAATTCCAAAAAATCTTCTTTTGAAAATCGTAACTAAGAATTTTCTTTCAAAATTTGCACCATTAGTGGGCCTCAGCATTGGCCGATTTTCACGTGGCCATCGAATTTGGGTGATCAGGCATGTTGTTAATTTTTTTAAAAGCATACAAATTTCTAAATCAATGATGGGAGAATCATGTAAGAAATAGAGTTGAAAAATAAATGGGCATGGGATGTGACCTGAAAAGAAAAGATGATTCTTTTCTGTAGCAACATGAGTGAAACTGAAGGCTTGGTTGGTCGAATTTCAAAATAAACGGTGGCACTATCGCATTATAAAACGCACAAAATGTCCAATTTTCTAAAGAAAATTTGTTCAGAATTCAATCCATGTATGGCCTGCATTAGTCCCTGTTCTCCTCTATGTAATGTGGCAACAAATGTGCACAGATGCGTATTATTTGTTTTACATGCGTTGTGTCTAGCAACCCTTCCGACCGAATGGGATGCCCAACAAAAAGAAATATTAATTTGCACAAGTTCTTGCACAGATGTAAACGGGGATGGGGAAACTCATGGTCATAAAATAATTAAGTCATGGCAATTGTTTGCATTGAAGTCACACAATCCTAACATTAGGTATGCAGTGTACAACAGAGGAAGAACATGTATAGGTGCTGTGGAGCTACAAATCCCAGCACACCCTGAAAGATCATAGAGGGAACTTGTTTCAAATGCAAGAGAGCTGCCTATTGCTTCTTTAACACAACTATAGCTGTAAAGTAATATATTTTGGTTAATATATATATATATATATATATATATATATAGAATAAAAAGCAGCCTTTACTAGGTTAGATGGAAATCTTGCGTAATGCTAGTCTGTCCAACACACAATTTTTGCTAGGAAACAAAGTTCCCCTCCCTTCCTTTATGTCCCCATTTTTAAAAAGGCAAAAAAAAACAAAAAGTAAAGTATCTAAAAAGACAAGCTTATGCTTCACGTACATAACTACCTTTTTCTTATAAAGTATCAACAGGTATACAAACTACATATTTTCCCTTTAGTGACTCAAAACAAAACTAAATCCAAGTGTAAATAAGTTTCAAAGCATTATTCGTTCAATGAGCCCTAATCAGTAGCTGTATAAATATTTACAAATACTAAGACTTCAGTGATTATTAGGATTTCTGTCAATAATCAGTGGGAAACAGTTTTAACAATGTGATCAGGTATAAAAAAAAACCAAACTGACCTTGTCTTCCTAAAATGCAATATCAATCTGTTCATGGTATTACACATGGGCCTGCCATAGACAAGAGCCAGGTCTAAGAATAGCCCACGTCTACAATCTGGGCCTGATTAGAAAATCTACTGTCTGCCAAGTTTATTTAGTCTAAAAACACAGTGAAAGTTTCTGAAACTTGGGTAGATCAGAGCTTTGGAGTCACAGCAGAGCAATCGTCCCAGTTAGATCATTATTTGCACCTTACCGCAGCCCAGGGAAAAGGAACCTTAGAGGAGAAGAGAGAGGGTGAGACAGGCAGAGCTTTCCAGCTACCAGAGAGAGAGAAAGCAAACGAGGCACTGAAATGTGAGAGCAGGCCTATGAGTCAATTTCCCCAACGCTGCAGCTCCAGTCAGGGGACAGCTGCACTGATACAAACCTCCTAAATATAGCCGAGGAATGCCAGGGGGGGAGAGCAGGCTGAATGTGTCCTGTACTTGCTGGGTCCTACCCACCTTGGTCTACCAACAACCAGAAGGAGTAACGGCAACAGGCGGTTTACTGTAGGTATAGATGGCACACAACATGAAAGTTCACAGAGGAAGGAAATGACAAGGGAGCGCGGAGTTTTGTGGTCAGGTTCACTGATCGCACTGACAAGTGACAGTACAGTAGGTAGTACTGATACTTGTGATGAAAAGACTGTTTTTGTGGTTTTGTGTGCAAGAAATTGCTGCTGTGTGTATTTTTATCATTTCTTGTGTGCAATGTTATTTCATAAAATGTAACTAGTTTCCAATGATTGAAAATGGTATCCATGATTATATATGCTAACATCTGAAGGTAAATTATATGGACATCATTTATTATTTCCGGTACTTATATAGTATAGCACTTATTCCAGTTCCAAATGACTGGATTCAGGTGATACAATCACCTCCATTGCCACAGGTGCAATCAAGCACCTAGGCATGCAGACTGCTTCTACAAACATTTGTGAAAGAATGGGTCGCTCTCAGGAGCTCAGTGAATTCAAGAGTGGTAACGTGATAGGTTGCCACCTGTGCAATAAGTCCATCCATGAAATTTCCTTGTTACTAAATATTCCACGGTCACCTGTTAGTGGTATTGTAACAAAGTGGAAGCAACTGGGAAAAACAGCAACTCAGCCAAGAAGTGACAGAGTGGGGTCAGCACATGCTGAAGCGCACAGTGCGCAGAAGTAGCCAACTGTTTGCAAAGTCAAACTTTGTGTGGCCTTCAGATTAGCACAACGGTAAGTAGAGAGCTTCATGGAATGCGTTTCCATGGCCAAGAAGCTGCATCCAAGCCTTACATCACCAAATGCAATGCAAAGCGTTGGATGCAGTGGTGTAAAGTATGCCGCCACTGGACTCTAGAGTAGTGGAGACGTGTTCATTGGAGTGACGTGGGAGAATGTCACTAATACACCGAGGATCATCAATATGGGTCCAAAAGTTTTAATGAACGATCACATAGTTACAGCAAGGCAACGTTTTAGAGTCTCGCAGGACCCCTTCATCAGGTATGTGACGTCACTTGCCTGATGAAGGGGTAATGCGAGACTGGTGGCATCTTATGGCACTTAAATTTCTATTCATTTGCAGTAATAATAAAAATAACAGTTTCAGGTTTTGTTGATTTAATTCTGCGGGCTTTAAATTTTGGGGGGGGGGGGGGGGGCAGGGTGCAAGTAGCTGGTCTTGCCTAGGGCGCAAAATAGTCTAGCACTGGCCCTGGATTATTTCTCCCACTGACATCAATGATGGGGCACCATTCCTCCTCCTATTAACCACAGGTGGTATGTAACTGACTACTAACCCTGCGACAATGTTTTTTTCCCCACTGATGCTGGGCCTGAGACATTTTCTAAACCTCGTTGTGTGAATGGTGACCATTCAGGCTACGGTGCATGAGAAATCTGGGTTCTCATTATTGGACTCTGGTGGCAGTATGGATTCCACTCCATAGGGATTATTTATTTACCATAAACCCATATTAGGGCCAGATATTTATCTACAGACACTATCTGGGTTCACAACACCTATATCAGCACAGTCTCCTCTTTATAATCCCCCACCCCCCATTCTGAAGTACTTTGAGTGAATCTATCCTGTGTGGTTTACATGTTTCCCACGTGCCATTATACCTCAATACAATGCTTTTGAACACCTCTCTCCTGAAGAAGCATTAAGTGAAATGCATTGAGATATAGAACTCCTCCACAGCACATATTGTGATTACTAAATCTCTATATCCTATAACCAGATTTTAAGGCTCGGAAGGTATAAGAGCCATTGTCGACCCTTAAGTTAAATTCACTGCATCATGATGCTGTGGAGGGGTCTTTAAGGGTTGTGTTCAGAGGGAACTTATATTTATGTTTTGTACATTGCTATTAATGATCGAGAGGCTATTATTGCATTTTTATTAAGCCACTTCTTGTCCATAGGCCTAATGTTAATAAAAAAAATGGATTTTAGCAGATGTGTGTGTAATGAACTCTGAGGGACTATCCACCTTAAAAATCTCACAAACTTCTGTTCTCCTCAGTTTTGAGAAGGTATTATTTATTTGCTGTGAAGTCTAACATACAAGACGTGCTGAACATCACTACAAATCTTTTGGTAAGTGACACTGTTCATACATACACATTCTCACCAGCCTATTTAGGCATTTAACTAAAGTTCAACTTGAAAGGGGACACGAATGGACAAAAGATGCACACAACCTAAAGCAAGTTGTATTGGACATTGGGGTCATGTTTGAACTCCTCCATTATGCTAGGGCTCACATTCATCAAGTAGCAACAGACACTGGCATGACCAGATTTGTATTGCATTCAGTGCATGAAAAGTGGAATCATCAATCGTCAGAGGCTTTCCTGGTAGGATCTCCGCAACAGCAACCCAGACAAGTTTTAGCTGAAAGCTTTACTTACAGTTACATAATGTCTGGCGTAGTGTTTCTTTTAGAAATGTAAATAAGTCTATAGTAGATATAAGACTTGTATTATCCAACCCGACACAGACTGATAAAAGTAAAAGACTTTAATAAACACACTCACATCTGGGAAATGTGCAACAGATATTTGGCAGCAAACAATGATTGAATTTATTTTAATACACCCAGGAATGCTCTGGAGGCATCTTCGTAATACTGTAATTTATTTCTGGATTGCTGTGTGAGTAAAAACCATATGGATCAATGAGTTATTGTCTAGAAGAGATGATAGCATAATAAACTGCTGCCCGAGGCACAGACAGATAACACTTGACAGCATCATTCCCTGCCACAGATGTCTCCCACTGGAGCAGCAATAATTATTGACACTGAAATACTTGTCACAATGTAGACTTCATCAATGACCACTACATTTATTACAGTGTTTACACCTTTACTGCTGTGGCTCAGGGATATAGCAACTTCCTGTGCTGGCCATATTAGCAAACTACATTTGGACCAGTCACAGAATTCTTATAAACTCAGAGCATGGAGAGAGAAAGAAGAGCAAGTGGGGTCGTGGAAGAGGGCGTGCGAAAGAGAAAGAGCGAGCAAGAAAGAGCGGGCGAAAGAGAAAGAGCAAGCAAGAGAGAGCGGGCGAAAGAGAGCACGAGAATAGAGTGAGAGACCAGTCACACAACAGAATTCTTATAAACTCAGAGCATGGAGAGAGAGAAAGAGGAGCAAGTGGGGTCGTGGAAGAGAGCAAGAGAAAGAGGGCAAGCAAAAGACGGTGAGAGAAAGAGGGCGAGAAAGCAAGAAAAAGGGCAAGCAAAAACGGGTGAGAAAGAGGGCAACCAAAAGAGGGTGAGTGAAAAAGGGCGAGAAAGCGAGAAAAAGAGGGCGAGAGAAAAAGGGCAAGCAAAAACGGGTGAGAAAGAGGGCGAGCAAAAACAGGTGAGAAAGAGGGCGAACAAAAACAGGTGAGAAAGAGGGCAAGCAAAAATGGGTGAGGAAGAGGGCAAGCAAAAATGGGAGAGAAAGAGGTCGAGCAAAAAAAGGCGAGAAAGAGGGCTATCGAAAGAGTGCAAGAAAGCGAGAAAAAAAGAGGGCAAGAGAAAAGGGCGAGCAAAAACGGGTGAGAAAGAGGGCGAGCAAAAACGGGTGAAAAGAGGGCAAGCAAAAATGGGTGAGAAAGAGGGCGAGCAAAAACGGGTGAGAAAGAGGGCGAGCAAAAACGGGTGAGAAAGAGGGCGAGCAAAAACAGGTGAGAAAGAGGGCGAGCAAAAACGGGTGAGAAAGAGGGGCGAGCAAAAAACGGGCGAGAAAGGGGGCAAGCAAAAATGGGCGAGAAAGAGGAGTGAGCAAAAATGGGGGCGAGAAAAGGGTGAGCAAAAACGGGCGAGAAAAAGGGTGAGCAAAAACGGGCGAGGAAGAGAGCAAGCAAAAAAGGGTGAGAAAGACGGCGAGTGAAAGCGGGCACAGAAGAGAGCATGGGAGAAACAGAGCGGGAAAGAGCGCAAGAGAAAGAGCGAAAGAAAGTGAGAGAAAAAAAGCTAAAAAAAATAAAGAGCGAAAAAGTGTGAGAAAATAAAAGAGAGAGAGAGAGAGAGAGCTAGAGGGGAAAAAACAGAGAGAGGAGAACTAGACAGAGGGAATAAAAAAAGGAACAAGAAAGATGGGATGAAAAAGAGAAAGACAGAGAATGAAAGGGGGGAGGGAGAAGAAACAGAGAAAAAGAGAGACAGTGAGAGAGAGCATGCAAGAGAGGGAGGACAATGCAGCCAATTCATTGGTTTCTGTAATTTGTTTTCCATTTTTTTTTATCTTAATTATAAAGCTCATTTATGCTCCTTCTGCTTACTATGAGTGTTTGTCTCCAAGTGTTGGCCATGAACAGTTGTCAGTGTACACACACTATGTCCTACCTATACAGCAGCTGTGTACACAGACCTACACACCAGCACTGAGCACAATAATAATGTTGGGTGGTCTGTGCTGCTCCTTTACCACGAAGAAGCAACAGTGGATGGAGAGCCTGCTGTCCCTTTATTAGAGACATGTAGGAGTATGTTTGGTGCAATGTGAATAGTGTGAGATCACAAGAGAGAACGCTACAGAACATTATTCTAAGAAGTAGAATCAGTCCAATCACTCATATCATCGATAATACATGTCTAGTTTAGAAAAAACGGCCTATTTTCTGTATGAATACATGCAGTATTCCCCTATACAGTGTGCAGCAACGTGGTGGGTGGTTTTAAAGGGTCTCTCTAAACATCTCTCTGTTTTGGATGGCTAACAAAAGGCAGAACTCTATCCATTGGTGTTTCTGAAACTCTGCAGAGATCTCTACACCTGAATTTTCAGCTTTGTCTACCTGCCTAAAATATTCCATGTTCAATCAATATTTTATTATGATTAAAATTGGAGGATGGGAAGTAAGACTCTGAGGGGGCAGAGCCAGAAATGTGGCCAGATAATAAGACCCCCCCACCATTCATCAATGATACATACAGCAGTTTTGGGCGGAGTAGTTCTACTGAGGACCTTCCAAGCAGATGTCTTCCCAGACACAGGCAGAGTGTGCCATCTTGTGGCCAAATATGGGCAATGCAACAGAACTTACATGTAAAATTGTTTGCGAAGCTGTCATTACTGTTAGGGTACATACAGCAAACATTTCTCAATGGATCAAAATATTTATACTATGTTAAAGTAGTCTGCAATTTGCAGTAAATCAGAAAAGAAACCACAACTAATGTTCGTTCTCTAAACCAATACAAATCTAATGAGCTGCACAGCTTTAAAATTCACAATGCATATATATCAGGAAGACATACAAGGGTTAGACAAAAAAATTGGAAACACTACATGATTTGCAGGTGTGAAAGTAATTACATGTTTCGCATTGAAAGTGGAAGTAACATTCTTTTGCTTCCACTGCGTGATGAGACATC